GTCTATTCACCAAAGAGCTGAGGGCAGGACAAGAAGTAATGGGTAGAAGATCGTTAAGCAGAGACCCAATCTAGAACTAGGAAGAAATTTCCTGACAGTGAGAACAATTAACCAGTGGAATGGCTTGCCTCCAGAGGTTGTGGATGCTCCATCACTGGAGGTTAATAGACTAGAATAGACTAGACTAGACTAGAATAGAATAGAATAGAAATACAGAATGCAATGGAATAGAATAGAATAGAATAGAATAGAATAGAATAGAATGGAATGGAATGGAATGGAATGGAATGGAATAGAATAGGGAAAGAATAGAATAGAATAGAATAGAATAGAATAGAATAGAATAGAATAGAATAGAATAGAATAGAATAGAATAGAATATGGTAATAGTGTTGGAAGGGACCTTAGAGGTCTTCTAGTGCAACCCTCAGTTCTGGCAGGAAACCCTATACCACTTCAGACAAATGGTTGTCCAATCTCTTCTTAAAAAGGTCAGTGATGAAGCACCCATAACCTCTAAAGGCAAAACCATTCCACTGTTCTCACTGTCAGGAAATTTCTCCTTAGTTCCAGGTTGGTTCACTCTTTGGTCAGTTTCCATCCGTTGCTTCTTGTCCTGCCTTCAGGCGCCTTGGAGAATAGCTTGACTCCCTCTTCTTTGTCTTTGTTCTTAAAATGAGATTTGATAAGGTCTCCTGCTCAAGCAGGGGGTTTGACTAGAACAGGGGTCCCCAACCTGTGGGCCGTGGCCTTCTACTGAGCTGTGGGCTATTTGCAACCAGGCCGCATGAGTGGCGAGTCATGCCCACCGTACACACAGCCTCATTCACGTGAGTGACGGGCACTGGCGCTTGCAGCCCTACTTGTGCAGGCAGCGGGCGCCAGCCCCACTTGCACGAGGGGCAGGCATGCACACCTGATGCTCACTCAAATACACGTGTGTGTGTTGTGCACACTATAACCAAAGTAGGTCTTCCTTGAGTCTTATTTGAGTCTAAAAATTGTTGAAGGATTCCTTCTTCCCTTCTCTGCTTGAGCATTTCAGAAAAATGATTTTTCAATCAAAAAGACGTTTTTCAACCAAAACCTAAACATCTGCAGTTAGCTAGAGATGGAGGGAATCCTGTAGGAGATCAGTCGGTCCTATTGAGGATTCTTTCAGCCCTAATTGCACTCGCCTCCAAATGGAGGTTTTGGGACAACAACAGACAGCACATAAGCCATCTCAGTGCTAAGCAGGGGCATTCAAGGAGATGGATGGGTCAATCACCGCAAGCACGGGATTACAGCCCCAGCCTTGTGTTACCATTGTACAGTTGTAGCGGCCATCTTGATTTTTCAACTGTCCCCTCCCTGTGGAAGCGGCTGGCATGAGGTCAGAGAGATTGCATGGATGAATCTGAAGGCTTAAAATGGTGGCTTTGAAATGCATCCAAGACTCCTTGCAGACAGCTGGTCATTTGCATTCTTTTTAGAGAGTCGTTGAGGCCACCTGGAGGTTTACCTGTGTCCTCAAGGTCACCTGAGTGGTGCAAATGAGTGGTGCAAATTCTTGGCTGCAGGATGTTTTCTGCCCTGGGTCCCTTCTCCGTTGAAGACAGGCGCAGGCTGTTGGGGATGAGTCTGTGTTATCTGCCTCTCCAACTGAAGCACAGATGGCTCCTGTTGCCCACAATGTTTTCTGGAAATCCCTTCATATTCCCGCACCATCCAATCAGAGCTGAAGAAGCTTCTTGGATGAGAAGCAAAATGTCTTCAAAGAAAAACAAAGGAAGTCCAGTTGCCTCCTGAAAAAGCACCTTTGGGGGACAACCATGACTTGGATGGGTGGAAGCTCATCAGAGACCCAACCGCGAAATAAGGAGAAATTTCCTGACACTGATTTCCTAGTAGATCACCACTCAGGTGGGAGCCAGCACTGTGCTGCAGCTACTGAAAAAAAGCTAATACAGCTGTTTTGTTGTTGTTAGTTGCGAAGTCCTGTCCAACCCATCGCGACCTCATGGACCACGTTCCTCCGGGCCTTCCTGCCCTCTACCATCTTCTGGAGTCCATTGAAGCTCACGCCTGCTGCTTCAGTGACTCCATCCAGCCACCTCATTCTCTGTCGTCCTCTTCTTCTATTGCCCTCCATCTTTAATACAGCTCTAGATTGCATCAAAAAAGGAACAGTTACAAGATCACATGAAGTGATAGTATTGGTACGCTGCCTCAGTAAGGCAGCATTTGGAATACTGCATCCTGTTTTGGTCACCAGCCTACGATAAAGATGTTGAGACTCTGGAAAGAGTGCAGAGAAGAGCAACAAAGATGATTCAGAGTCTAGAGGGTAAACCCTACAATGAACACTTGTAGCAACTAGGTATGTCTACTTTAACGAAGAGGAGAACTAGGGGTGACATGATAGCAGTCTTCCAATATTTGAGAGGGCTGGAGGCTCAACCATATGATGAACGATTGAGATCACTAGGTCTGTCAAGGTCCAGGCAGAAGAAGAACATTGTGGTTTCAAAATCTAAGGGATTGGTTTGGACAAAACTCAGCAGCACTTTTTCCTGCGGCTGCTGATAAAAACAGGATCACCAACATGATCGCCAACGTCCGATAACGGATATGGCACAAGAAGAAGAAGAAGAAGGTCTGTCAAGTCCAATGAAGAGGAGGACTAGGGATGACATGCTAAGCAGTCTTGCAATATTTGGGCAGCTGCCACAAAGAAGAGGTGGGGTCAATCTATTCTCCAAAGCAATGGAGGACACGGCAAGAAGCAACAGCTGGAATATTATCAAAGAGAGACCCAAGCTAAAACTAAGAGGACATTTCCTGAGATTGAGAACAATTAATTGGTGGAACAGCCTGCCTGCAGAAGTTGTGGGTGCTCCATCAGTGAAGAAGAGATGGGACAAGCCTTTGCCTGGGGTGGTGTGAGGACTTCTGCCTTGGGGAGAAGGTTGGACTAGGAGACCTCCAAGGTCCCTTCCAGCCCTAGAATTCTATGGGTGGACTTCAACTCCCAGAATTCCCCAGCTGGCATGCTTTAAGATGGGTGGACTTTGACGCCCAGAATTCCCCGGCTAGCCATCTTCAAGCTGGCAAGGTTGAGAAACAAATGTGATAGACTGCAGTTTTCCTGGATGCAAGGATGCAAGCTTTAATTCTGTCGGAGCTCTTCCAGTGTTTCAGCTGAAGCTCTCAGGACTGAAGCTACGTTAGATATCAAGCTCCATCTCATCCCAAGGTTGGTTCTTCTCCAAACTGCTTGGTAGGGCAGCTTCTACAGTTTCTCCTGAGGGGCAGTTCCCATCAATCTTTCTCTCTGAAACTCTCTCCCTCCCCTCAATTACCAGCTAAAGAGGCTGGACCCCCTGCAAGCAAGAAGGAAGAAAAGAAGACCACACTTGGAATACTGCAGCCAATTTGGGTCACCCTATCAGAAAAAAAGATGTTGAGAGTTTGGGAAAAAAAAATTCAGAGAAGAGCAACTAAGACGATCCAAGGCCTGGAGACCAAAACATACGAAGAACGGCTGCGGGACTTGGGTTTGGCTAGTCTAAAAAAAAGAAGAAATAGGGGAGACATGATAGCAGTGTTCCAGTATTTGAGGGTCAGCCCCAAAGAAGAGGGGGTCATGTTGTTCACCAAAGCATTAGAAGGAAAGACAAGAAACAATGGTTGGAAACTGATCAAGGAGAGAAGCAAGCTGGAATTAAGGAGAACGGTGAGGACAATTAACCAGTGGAACAGCTTGCTTCCAGAAATCGTGGGCGCTCCATCACTGGGAATTTTTAAGAAGAGACTAGACAACCATCTGTCTGAGATGGTATAGGTTCTCCTGCTTGAGCAGGGGGCTGGACTAGAAGACCTTCAAGGTCCCTTCCAGCTCTATGGTATTCTAAGAGACTCCTGTCTCGTTTTTTTTTTCCTTTGCCCTCCCCATCTCTGGCTCCCAGCTGAGTCTCCAGCTCAGGGGAAAATCTTGACCAGATCAACTCGTGATTTGCTTATCCGTTGGATGGCTAGCAGTTCCAGCTTTTCCAGGCTCTTTCCCCTCCTCCCTAGCCACTTGGATCAGAAGTGTGTGTGTGTGTGTGTGTGTCTGCGTGTGTGAGAGCGCGTGTGCGCGCGTGTGTGAAAGAGCCAGCGAGGCTGTGCATGTGCCCCTCTCCTTGGCACCCTTCCCGAAGCCCTCCCTCCTTCCAAGTTGGAATTTTCTTCCGCATCACAGCCAAATCTGCCCGAAAAGCATCCTCGGAGCCGGCGAGAGGCAGACCCGAAAGGGAATTTTGCTGCCTCCCGCCTCGGTCGGCTTTGTCTCCTTCGGTTCTCTCCTGGACACCATGCGTGGACCTGAGCAGCATCGCTAAAAAAAAATAAAAATTAAAATTAAAAATTAAAAAAAAGCTCCACCGTAAGAGATCTGCCCTTTCCGTTGAAAGGAAGCGCCGTCAAGGTAAGCGCGAAGCTGGCGTGGGCTTTTTAAGTTTCCTCTGGCTTGATTTCTTGGTGCAGAAAAGCAGATTTGCTGGGTTTTTTTTTTTTTTTTTTTTTTTGCAGCAAATGCACAAATTGAGACAGAGAGAGAGAGAGAGAGAGAGAGAGAGAGGGAGGGAGGGAGGGAGGGAGAGAGAGGGAGGGAGAGAGGGAGAGAGAGGGAGAAAAAAGAGAGAGAGAGAGAGAGAGAGAAAGAAAGAGAGAGAAAGAGGGGGAGGGAGGGGAGAGAGAGAGAAAGAGAGAGAATAGCTATTACTCATGTTCCGACTTTTGCAGGGTGGGCTAATTCACCTGCTGGCGGCGTGGGGGAATTCTCGCTCAACCGCAGGGAGCGAGGAGGGCATTCTGCACATGGACAGATGGAAGGAAGGAGGGTTGGCTGATGAGCAGGCTGGGGAGGGCTGCCAAGCTTCCCTCCCTCCCTCCCTCCCTCCCTCCCCCCCTTCCCACCCCTTCCCCAAGATCTTTGCCATCTCATTCTTTGTGCAAGGGGGTGTGCGGGTGACGGCATACAGCCCTGGCTGTAAAGCCCTTTGGGTGGCTTTTTAGCCAATCCAAGCATCTCCCTTGGGGTCAGGTCAGTGAAGCAGGCAGAAAAAGAAAAATCCCCGTCTTCTGATGATTGCGCAAGAATTCCATCCATGGTATTGGTTGGTGTGGGTTGTTTTTGGGTTTTTTTTTTTTTAAACCCTTGGCCCTCTATGGGTCAGTGTGCATGAAAATCGGTTTGTTGTATCCCAAACCTCCTTAATAATTCTTCTTCTTCTTCTTCTTCTTCTTCTTCTTCTTCTTCTTCTTCTTCTTCTTCTTCTTCTTCTTCTTCTCCTCCTTCCTCTTCCTCCTCCTCTTCCTCATCCTCTTCTTCTCCTCCTCCTCCTCCTTCTTTTTCCTCTTCCTCTTCCTTTTCCTCTTCCTCTTCTTCTTCTTCTCTTCCTCCTCCTTCTCCTCTTCCTCCTTCTTCCTCTTCCTCTTCCTCTTCCTCCTCCTCCTCCTCCTCCTCCTCTTCTTCTTCTCCTTCTCCTCCTCCTTCTCTTCTTCCTCCTCCTCCATTCTTCTCTTCCTCTTCCTCTTTTACCTTTACCTGTACCTCTTTTTCCTCTTCTTCCTCCTCCTCCTCCTTCTTCCCCTTCTTCCTCCTTCCCCCCTTCTTTCTCCTTCCTTACTCCAGAGCTCGCAATCGTCTGCATTCAGGATGGACCCCTTCTTCCACACTCAAGTTGGGGATGTCCTTTACATGTCCAGGCTGGTGAATGACTCATCCCTCTGGAATTTCAGCCTGGGCAACTGGTTTCACAACCAAACCACCGATGGGTTCCTTCCCATGAGGATGAAGGTCACAATTGTGATTGTCTACTCCATCGTCTGCATCGTGGGGCTGGTGGGCAACTGCTCGGTCATGTACGTGATCATCAGGTGAGCCCATCCCCGTGGGATGAAGTTTGGGGTGAGCACGGGCTCTGACAGGAGATCTCCCAGAATGAGGACCCACTCTTCTTGGCTTTGGGGATATTCTTCTGGGTGCCTGGAATTTGTATGCCAGGCACAGCAATTGAAACGGCAAGGGCACCACAGTGCATGTGCAAAATTCTTTTCTCTCATGGCTGAGCACGGGCATTTAGAGGCAGTGAATGCTGGGTGGGGAGATTTCTTGAGAAACAATGCTCATTCCAACCCAACAGAAATAATCGGAGACATGGCTAGAGCAGTAAACGCGAAGTCTCTATCCAGGTTGACCCAAGAATTAAATCCCATTGAGTTCAACGGTCAGATTTTTTTGCGTACCCCCCCCCCGAAACAGAACATAAGATCGAGGGAGGTTTGAATTCCAACAGAGGAGAATATTTGTAGCTAAGGGTTGAAATAAGGGCTCCTTCCATGCTCTCTGACCTTGGTGGTTTTCTTGCAGACATTTTGTTACCGAAACTGGCTAACATCATCAGTGCTTCCAATAGCTAGTAGGGCAATCTTTAGAGCGGGGGTGGGGGAGGGGCTGTAAGGGGCCAAAGAGGTCAAATGCAATGCAGATAAAAGGTAGCCATATCCATGGATGAAATTTCGGACATTAATTTGACAAAGGCTGTTAATGAGATCTGCCCAGAGTTACTTTTGGTGAGATGGGCAACTATGTAACTCAATAATTAAATGACCAAACTGTTAAATGAAATAAGTGCTTTCTAGAAGATCATCCTTAATGGGACTAATCAGTGAATAACAGAATAGCAGAGTTGGAAGGGACCTTGGAGGTCCTCTAGCCCAACCCCCTGCAGGAGAGCCTATACCATTCTTGGACAAATGGCTGCCCAGTCTCTTCTTCAAAACCTCCAGTGTTGGAACACCCACAACTTCTGTAGGCCAGTTGGCTGCATTGCTTTGGGCACAGGGAACTACACCTGGCTAGCAAGCTGTCCTGTAAAGATCTTATCCTGGATTAAAATCTCATAAGGAACGGTTGCTGGAATTAGGTATGTCTAGTCCAGTGGTGGTGAACCTATGGCACGGGTGCCAGAGGCGGCACTCAGAGCCCTCTCTGTGGGCACGCGCACCGTCGCCCCAGTCCTAGGCCTTCAGCTGGGTTTTATAAAACCTTTTCACTTTAGGCCTCCGCTGCCATGTACAAAAAAAAAAAAAAAAAAAAAGGGTTCAATCAATCAGTCAATTTCAACTTCTCACGGGGAAAAAAAAGATGTTGCAAAATTGGAATTGATTGATTGAACTTTTTAGTCCCACCCAGTCTGCTGTTACCACCGCAGTCACGCCCACCCAATGGGCCACACCCAGCCAATGGGCCATACCCACCCGGCACCCAACGATGCATAAGTGGGTTTTGGGTTGCAGTTTGGGCACTCGGTCTCTAAAAAGTTTGCCATCACTGGTCTAGTCTAATGAAGAGAAGGACAAGGGGGGACATGATAGCAGTGCTCCAATCTCTCAGGGGCTGCCCCAAAGAAGAAGGAGTCAAGCTATTCTCCAAAGTGCCTGAAGGCAGGACGAGAAGCAACGGAGGGAAACTAACCAAGGAGAGAAGCAACCTAGAACTAAGGAGAAATTTCCTGATAGTTAGAACAATTAACCAGTGGAACAACCTGCCTCCAGAAGCAGTGAATGCTCCAACACTGGAAGTTTTTAAGAAGAGACTGGACAGCCATTTGTCTGAAATGGTATAGGGTTTCCTGCCTGAGCAGGGGGTTGGACTAGATGACTTCCAAGTCCCTTCCAACTTTATTATTATTATATTGTTGTGAAGCTGCATGGGGTGGTTTTTTTTGTGTGCAGCAGAAGAGACTCTAAAAGGCAATGACAACCTCTTGGCTTTGCTACCGTAGGATTGGAGTCTTTGAAATCTGTGCTAAGGTGCCCAACATATTCCTTGCTGATTCACTCACTTGAGTTTATCTATTTTGTCTCTCACTGTCCATTTGCACACTGGAACTGGTAGAGAAGCTTGTTGTTTTTTCTGTTAGAAGTCTGCATTTGCTAATGGGGAAGGTGAACGGAAGGCAGAATGAAACACTTAGTGGGCAGGCAAAAGCCAGAATGGGCGGGGAGATCTCTCTTTTTTTTCTTGGCTACATCCCCTTAGACAGGGGTAGGCAACCTTGGCTCTTTCATGACTCGTGGACTTCAACTCCCAGAATTCCTGAGCCAGCCACGCTGAGGGAAAAGGGAGAGGTTTCCAAGCTGAGCCAGGCTGGCTCAGGAATTCTGGGAGTTGAAGTCCACGAGTCATAAAAGAGCCAAGGTTGCCTACCCCTGCCCTTACTCTTTGACCTTTGACTCTCTACGCTGAGGAACGATGGTCTTGGTGGACTTCAACTCCCAGAATTCCTGAGCCAGCCACAAGTCATAAAGGGGCCATCGTTCCCCGCCGCTGCTCTAAAGCCTCCTCAAAAAAGCAGACAGCAGGGACAGATCGATTTTAGTGAAACGTGAGCTGATTGCTTTAAAGGGGTCGAGGAGAGATGAGATGTTATAGGATGTGAACAGGTAGCTCTCCTTAGGCTGTAGATCAGTGTTTCTCAACCTTGACAATTTTAAGGCATGTGGACTTCAACTCCCAGAATTCCACAGCTAGCAATGCTGGCTGTGGAATTCTGGGAGTTGAAGTCCACATGCCTTAAAATTGTCAAGGTTGAGAAACACTGCTGTAGATTATTCGAATGGTGGGGGTCTTTCTGAACTTGTCTGTTCTCTTGCAGACGTTTCATGACCCATCTAGGTAACATCATCAAGTGCTAGAAGGGAGTGGGGTTTTCACTGAGGATGTCGCTTAGTTGGGTAATGAAATGTCTGCAAGAAAACAACCAAGCTCAGAGCATTAAGGCCCCCACAGTCCTCCTCCTCCTCTCCACAAATACCCCTTCCTTCTAGCACTGATGATGTGATTGAGTTGGATTGTGAAACATCGGCAAGAAAACAGCCAAGCTCAGAGGTCACTAAGGATACCACTATTCAACCCGGGGCCACAAACATTCTCTTCTATTGAGATTTTTTTTTAAAGCTCCTGACTTGCATCTTAGGCTGACGGTGAGCACAGACTGCCACCAGATTCCTGGTCAGGGGTAGGCAACCTTGGCTCTTTTATGACTCATGGACTTCAACTCCCAGAATCCCTGAGCCAGCTATGCTGAGGGGAAAGGGAGAGGTTTCCAAGCTGAGCCAGGCTGGCTCAGGAATTCTGGGAGTTGAAGTCCACGAGTCATGAGGGGGCCATACTTCCCCCACGCTGGCTCAGGAATGCTGGGAGTTGAAGTCCACGAGTCATAAAAGAGCCAAGGTTGCCTACCCCTGTATCTTGGTCATTTTTTCTGATGCGTTCAAGTCAGGATTGACTCTAGGACAGGGGTGTCAAACTTCCGGCCCACAGGCTGGATGCATCATAGTGAAACCGCGCCCGCCCCATTCCTGACAAAGGCAAAAAAAAAAAAAAAAAAACGTGCTATGTCATGACACGTCACGTGACGTTGCGAGTTTGACGCCCCTGCTCTAGGAGACCCCAGTGACAGTTCCACAGAGATCTTTTGGCAACTGTTATTTCTTCTCTTTTTTCCCCCCTAAGTTTATTTATATCCTACCTTTATTATTTTTACAAATAAGTCAAGGCAGCGTGCATGCACAATTCTTCTTCCTGTTTTCCCCACAACAGCAACCGTGTGAGGTGTGTTGGCCTGAGAGAGAATGACTAGCCCAAAGTCACCCAGCTGGCTCTCATGGCTAAAGCGGGACTAGAACTCACTGTCTCCTGGGAATTGGCCCAAAGTCACCCAGTTGGCTTTCATGCCTAAGGTGAGACTAGAACTCACAGTCTCCTAGGGATTGGTCCAAAGTCACCCAGCTGGCTTTCATGGCTAAGGTGAGACTAGAACTCACAGTCTCCTAGGGATTGGCCCAAAGTTACCCAGTTGGCTTTCATACCTAAGGTGGGACTAGAACTCACAGTCTCCTAGGGATTGGCCCAAAGTCACCCAGCTGGCTTTCATACCTAAGGTGGGACTAGAACTCACAGTCTCCTAGGGATTGGCCCAAAGTCACCCAGCTGGCTTTCATGGCTAAGGTGAGACTAGAACTCACAGTCTCCTAGGGATTGGCCCAAAGTCACCCAGCTGGCTTTCATGGCTAAGGCGGGACTAGAACTCACAGTCTCCTAGGGATTGGTCCAAAGTCACCCAGCTGGCTTTCATGGCTAAGGTGAGACTAGAACTCACAGTCTCCTAGGGATTGGCCAAAAGGTACCCAGTTGGCTTTCATACCTAAGGTGAGACTAGAACTCACAGTCTCCTAGGGATTGGCCCAAAGTCACCCAGCTGGCTTTCATGGCTAAGGCGGGACTAGAACTCACAGTCTCCTGGGGATTGGCCCACAGTCACCCAGCTGGCTTTCATACCTAAGGTGGGACTAGAACTCACAGTCTCCTAGGGATTGGCCCACAGTCACCCAGCTGGCTTTCATACCTAAGGTGGGACTAGAACTCACAGTCTCCTAGGGATTGGCCCAAAGTCACCCAGCTGGCTTTCATGGCTAAGGCCTCCTGCTTTCTAGCTTGGCGCCTTAATGACTAGATCAAACTGGCTCTCTTTTTGGAAGAGATGGTCATGGTCTTCTCCTGCAGAATCCAACCAGGGTTGGTCACCGGGACCAGAGCTTTAGTCTTCCCAGCTTTGAGACTCATGCTGAGGGACCTTCTTTCTCATCAGAATAGTCTTCTTCCTTCTGCTGACAGAGAGGAACTGATCCAAAGTCACCTAAGACAGGATTTGAACTCATGGTTTCCTGGTGGCTATTTCATTGCCTTTAACCAATAGGCTGGACTGGCTCTAGATCACAAGATTGGCAAATTCTGTATAAACATGGACCCTTTGGTAGCTAAGGCTGCACTAGCTTGGCAGAAGACAGAGATAAATGACAGAAATTGTGGG